AAAAACCAAAAAAAAAAAAAAAAAAAAAAAAAAATTGGGATGAAAAATAGAAATTCATACTGGTTTTACTGTTGAAACTCAAAACACTATTGAGAGGCTGGAGAGCTGGCTCAGCAGTTAACAGCACTGGCTGCTCTTCCAGAGGACCTGGTTCCTTAGAACTGAACCCAGCAATGGCTCACACCATTTTTAACCCAACTTTATGGGAATCTACCACCCTCCCATGAATTCTGAACATATATACATAAGAAAACACCCATACACATGAAATTAAAAATCTAAAAAGAACCAAAACCAAAAATAAACAAAAATGTCATGATTAAAATTGAACTGGCAGGGGAGGTAAACACCTTTACTCTCTGAGTCAGCCTGGTCTACAAGAAAGTTCCAGGACAACCAGGCTGCACAGAGTAACCCTGTCTGGAAAAACCCTTTCCTCCAATGTCTCTCTATTCCTAGTGTATTCAGACGGAGACCGCTGATCCCTAAGAGGCCAGGAGGGTTGCTGGCAGTCTTACCTGCTGAGGCCAGGTTCTGGTAGTTCTCCAGCATCACTTCCCTGTAGAGGTCTTTCTGAGTTTGATCCATTATAGCCCACTCCTCTTGGGTGAAGTCCACAGCCACATCATCAAAGGTCACCGAGTCCTAAATCACATACATGCCAGCCTGAGTACATGTAACCAATGTTCATTATAGATTAAGACACAAGACCCAACTCTTGTCAGAGACCCGAGGACTTCCATTGTCTGCTTCAGGGACTGGGGGTCTGGGAGATCTCCCTGTTCACGGTCACTGTCCATTTTCTATGGATATATGGCTTTAGCGACCTTTCTCACAACTAAACAAACAGCCAGTCTCTCTATTCCCTAACACTTGGTAAACAGGTTTGATGAGCAGTCTTTGGGTTGGGAGATACAATTTAGTGGTAGAGTGCTTGTTGAGAATATTCAAGGCCCTAGGTTCAATTCCAAGCACAGAAAAAAAAAAAAAAGAAAAAAATTATACTTTTTTGTGTGTAAAGTGTATCCATGTGTGTATAGGTATTCAAATACATGGGTACATGTGTATTAGAGGCAAAAAGTCAATATTGGGCATCTTCCTCAATGGCTCTCAAACTAACATACTGAGGCAGGTCTTTCATTGAAACCACTGCTCATTTAGTCAGCTAGTCTAACTAGCAGGCTCACTTAAGAGATCCTGGCTCTGCCTCCAGAGGATGGAAATTACAAGTTACTGAAATGAAATGCTACCACACCCATCTGGCATGTTCACGGGTACTAGGGATTTGAACTCTGGTCCTTATACTTGCACAGCAAGAGCTTTACCCACTGAGTCATCTCCAGTTTCAGGAATTTTTTACAAAAGAGAACTTGTTTCAGCAGGTGGATTTCTGTGAGTTCAAGGCCAGCCTGATCAACAGAGCTAGTTCTAGGACAGCCAAGGTTACACAAAAGAAACCCTGTCTCAAAAAACAATAACAAACCCAGAGATGTGGGAGGACTTGTTTCTTGGGGTTAGAGATGGATCAGTGGCTAAGAGCACTTGTTGGTCTTGCAAACGACCTGGATTCTGTCCCCATCCCAGCATCAACATGGGGGCTCATAACCATCATAACTGTAGTCTCCTAACTCCAGTTCGAGGGGTTCTGATGCCCTCTTCTGACCTCTGTAGGTACCAGACATGCACGTGGTATAGATATACATACAGGCAAAATATACACGCAATTTAAAACAAGCAAACAAAAAAAGAACTTATTTCATTGAGGGGGGCAGGGTCCACCCACCACAGCACATATCTGGAGGTGAGAGGACAATTTGCAGAATTTAGTTCTTTCCTTCTGTCATGTGGGTTCATGGGAACATAGGTCTTCAGGGTTTCCAGCAAATGTCTTAACTTGCTAAGCCATCTCACCAGCTCCAGCATTTTCTAGAAACAGCCTTACATATCCCCCAAACTGGTCTCTAACTTGTTCTGTAGCTGATGATGATCTTGAACTCTTGATCTCGCTGTCTCTACCTAAGAGGATGATTTTCAATTTCTTTTTTTTAATTTTACTTTTACTTAGGCATATGTGTGCTTTTGTGTGCACATGTGTGCAGGTGTGCATGGGGGCTAGAGGAGCACATGGGGTCTCCTGGAGCTGGTGTTAAGCAAGTGCTGTACTAAGAGCTTTACTCTCCCCCACACACACAGACAAAAGGTATGCTCTTCCCTCTTAAAATTCTTTCAGAATACTTGGCAAAATAACAAACATACCAGTGTCACCATGAGTATCAACATTAATCAGAAGTTACTAAGATCCTGAGTAGAATTTCAGATAACACTGCACTAGTAAGTGTGGGGCTACCCCAGGGGAAGTACAACTGGGGTTCCAGCCTTGATTGCTGGTTCTGTGAAGTCTGCAGAGTCACGTCTACCTGGATGGAAACACTTGACCTGGTGCAGCACACTCGGCATTTTGTGAAGCAGTCTGCATACCTGATAAAAATCTCTCAGGCCGCGGACTACCATATTCTCTGCCTTTTTCTTTTCCTCAAGGCAGACTGGGTTAACAGGAAGAAGAGCACCTGGAAGAAAGAGAAGGTGTAAGAACCAAAAATTCCTACCTTTCTCCTCCACGTTCTTCAGTTCATTGATCCTAGTGTCAGATACACAAAATCCTATACACTAGAGGAAAATCAGATGCATACACTATTTCAAAAAATACTTTTAGAAAAAAAATACTTTTAGGGCTGTAGAGATGGCTCACTGTTACAAGCACTTGTTCCTGCAGAGGACCCAGGTTCAAATGGTGGCTGACAGCCATCCATAACTCCAGTTCCAGGATGTACAAGATACAAACATACATGTAAGAAAATATTCACACAAATAAATCAAAAATAATTTTAAAAGAAAAATACTTTTACATTTACTTATTGTATGTATAGAATTGTAGAAATGTTATAACACACACATGGAAAACGATAGCTTGGGAGACTCTGTTCTCTCCTCCTGCCATGTGTGTCTCAGGCATTGAACTCAGGTCATCAGGTTTGGCTGTAAGTGCCTTTACCCACTGAGCCGTCTTGCTGGCCCTATTTGTTTTCATCTTTTTGAGACAGGGTATTACATAGCCTAGGTTGGCCTTGACCTCCTGATCCACTTGACTCTCAAGTGCTTAGATTATAAGCAGGCCCCACCATACCTGACTGTGTTGTCGTAGGAGTGGCGGGGCTGCGTCCCACCACCCAGCTAGCTTTACATCTGAAATAATTACATGGAAACTGTATTCTTTTAAATACTGCCTGGCACATTAATTTCAGCCTCTTATTGGCTAATTCTCACATCTCGATGAACCCATTTCTAATAATCTGTGTAACACCACAAGGTGGCTTACCAGTAAGATCTTAACCTGCATCTGTCTGGAGTGGGAGAATCATGGAGACTGCCTGACTCGGCTTCTTTCTCCCAGCATTCTGTTCTGTCTACTCCGCTTACCTAATTTTTTGTCCTATTAAAGGGCCAAGGCAGTTTCTTTATTAACCAATGAAATCAACACAAAAGACTCTCCCCCATCATTTCCCCTTTTTCTGTTTAAACAAAAAAGAAAGGCTTTTACTTTAACATAGTAAGATTACATATAACAAAACAGTTATCAAGCAAGAATTAGTTACAATATTTATATCTATAATATCTTTTATCATACCTAAGGAAAACTATAACTATAACTAACCATTCTTCAACTCCATCAAAGACTCCAGAAGGATATAATATTACCTAAGCAAACAAAAAGTCCAAAACTCTAGAAATGACAGAGACATCTCGCTGTCTGGACAGTCACTCAAAGTTCTTTTGTACTGTTGGGGCATCCATCTTTAGCCTACAGGCCCATAGTATCCAGCAGACTTTTTCATGAAGCAGGAAATTTTAAAGACAGTCAGTCATTATCTGCTGTGTCCTGTAGAATGTCTCGCAGACTCTTTCATGAATCAGGAACCCCGAAAGACCATCTCACCTTTAGGCAAATTCAGCAGTCCTCTCTCTGAGGGTTCTCTGTGTCCAGTTTATGCAACAGTCCAGGCAAGAGCAGTTTCTTGCCCAAATGACTATCCAACTCCATAAGGATCCTCTTCGATGCCCATCTTCCTCTTGAAGTAGCTGGTGCTGCCAGGAGCAGACGTGTCTCCTTGTCATGAAAAGTCCTAAGTTATTAAAATATTTTAAATGCCATATTCTGCAGTCTTTGAAAGATATGAAGAATGCCTATCTAATTGAAATATATCTCTATATATCTAGAAAATCTAATTAACATGACTACAAGCTTAACTATTAGCAATGATTATCCATTAACAACCTATATTTCCTAATTATACATTACATTTTAAATGAACTACATAATCACAATACCTTAATCAAGTTCAAAAATACATATACATATAACAAAATTGACCTTAAAATCCATACCAATGCAAATTATTCATATCTATATCATATCCCCCTTTAAATGTAAAAGAACATTTATAAACAATATTTGGGAACATGGGCGTAGTTTTTTCTCTCCAAACTGCTTCCTGCTGAATGGGGGCGTTGTTAATCAGATCATTTAGGGTGTAACCTGTGTGTCAGGTTCATCTCGGTTGGCAGTTGAGTGAAGTAATTTTTTGAGGGTGTTCACAGCAACCTTTCAGGAGGGCGTGGTCTATCATACCATACCGGGATAGATGCAATCCATAGGGTCACATCCTCTGTGGAAACAAAAGAAGACCCTCTCCAAAGCATCATATCCTTAGATCCAAATTTTGAAGTCAAGATACCTTTAGAACATATGTGCAGGTTCAGCTTAGCAGCCCATATAATAAAATGTCTCTTTGTACTTAGCTCCTTCACAGTCAAAAATTTTAAAGAAAACACAATGTACATAATCCAGACTCTCTGTGAATTTTCCATTTTTACGTAGCTTATTTTTCTTTTTTTTTTAATCTATAACTATCTGTACTCTGTCTCTTTAAAGACTTTACCCTTTTTTTAACATTAACTTTATTTTCTATATTCTTTTCCTTCTCTCTCTCAAGCCTACGTACACTCATCCAACATTGTGACCCATAGAGGTCTTTTATGTCTGAATCTGTCCTATTGTGACTCTGATTTTTTTACTATCCAGGAGCATTTCTTAAAATGTTAAGCATTTTTTAAAAACTTAAATTGCACCATGTAGGAGTAATACGGTACTGCCTGTTTACTGCCAGTCTAAACCTCAACTGCACTGTTGTTATGGTAATTATCCTGCCCGAGGTCAGCACAATTCAGCATGGAGGAGCGGAGCTGGAGGCTTGTGACTGAATCAGTGGGAGCTGGAGGCTTGTGACTGAATCAGTGGCGCCTCTGAGCTGCAGAGCAGCGGGCAGCTCTGGATGTTGGCTCCACCTCTCTCCAATTTGCTCTCCTGCCAGCTTAAGCCTGATCCTAAAGTCTGCCCAGGCGGGGAGCGCAGGCATGGTCTCAGAGTACATTATTCCCGATCCCGAGCGGGAGCACAAACACCCAGGCCCACAAATGCACCATAGCCGGAGTTTGCACCAGCGGCAGGACCCAGGAAGCTGCTGCGTTTTAAAACCGTGCACGGCTTTTTTTTTTTTTAAGGCTGCCGTGTGAGGAAATTTTCTCTGCGGCACGCCACCCACAAACAGCAAAAAGCTGCGTTAAATTCTCTCAGGTTTTATATGAATCCAGTTTAACACGTTGGAGCTCCACTCTGTTGTAGGAAGAGCAGTGGGCTGCGTCCTGCCACCCGGCTAGCTTTACATCTGAAATAATTACATGGAAACTGTATTCTTTTAAATACTGCCTGGCACATTAGTTTCAGCCTCTTATTGGCTAATTCTCATATCTCGATTAACCCATTTTTAATAATCTGTGTAACACCACAAGGTAGCTTACCAGGAAGATCTTAACCTGTACCTGTCTGGAGTGGGAGAATCATGGCGACTGCCTGACTCGGCTTCTTCATCCCAGCATTCTGTTCTGTCTACTCCGCCTACCTAATTTTTTGTCCTATTAAAGGGCCAAGGCAGTTTCTTTATTAACCAATGAAATCAACACAAAACAGAAGACTCTCCCACATCATGACTGGATTAACACATTACTGCCAGATAGCAGAGCAGCTCTAACTCATCTGATGCCAGGAAAAGAATCTGTAAGCCATGTAGCCCACCAGGAAGACTAATGGTCTCACTTTACATGTACAGAAGCATCAGCTCAGAGAGATGAAGTCCTCACTCTCAGCACGCTGTTTTGTCCAGCCAGTGTGATCTACAAAAGCCCTATTCTTGCTTTGGAATGAGTTTATTAAGTACATAACAAACAAAAGCAAACATAGAATTACATAGAGCAGATAGAAGGAAACATCACATATATAGCAGAATATCAGCAAATCGCATGCTCAAAATAGGCAGCAGACATTGCCTGGGGAAGCCACCCTTAAGCTGCGAGTCCCAGATGGAGCAAAGCGTCCCCTTTGGGTGTCTTCTGAACAAATAAAGAAAATGCCACAAATTCAAAGAAGCGTGTTTCCAGTGGTGCACCACCTCTCTGCACACTACCCAGCAAAGGGGCATGTTAAGAGTTGAGCACTGCTTAGATGACTGTAGAGCCAGCTGAGGTCTAGAGTAGCCCACTAATCAGCTGGTGCGCTGTGACTGCTTTACCACGGACATCTGACTTCACGATCTCCACCACATTTCTCCACCTTCCTAATCCCTCTCTCATGATCACCTTCTCTGGACGGTTCACACAATCTCTGCTCTGTTTCTAGATAACAGGCTATGACAAATCCTCAGAGACTTTGCAAATGTCATGAAAGCCTGAAGTGGAGACCTGAACAAAGTGGAATGTGTGTGTTGAGAAGATGGGCATGTGATTCCCCTGGCACTTGTGTGGAGGTCAGAGAACAACTTTCAGGAATCCGTTCTCTCCTTCTACCATGGCATCCAGGAACTGAACGCCGCAGGCTGTCATATCTACACAGCAAGTATGTTTACCGAATGAGTCATCTCACCAGCTCAGTCTATGTCTTTAATGTTTGTGTGTATGTGTACACGTGTGAGGGTGAGAAAGACAAAGACTACTCCCAGAGCTGGAGTTAGGCTGTTTGCACAATACCCTGATTACTTATATGCTGGGATCTGAACTCTGGCCCTCAGAGTTACACATCTAATGTTCTATCTCACTCTAATGAAGCTATCTCTCTAGCACCCTAAGGTGAATTATCAATGGGAAAAATATCTTAGTGGGCTTGATCTAACTAGGCAGAGGCATGTGTATGTGTAGTCGATGCTGGGTATTTCTCAGGAGCTTCTCCATCTTTTTTATTTAATTTTTTGAGACAGGGACCCTGGAAATCTGTTGACCAGGCTGGCCTCAAACTCACAGAGGTCCACCTGCCTTTGCCTCCAAGCGCTAGAATTAAAGGTGTGTACTACCATGCCCAATACCCATTCCCATCACCCCAGACAGAGTTTCTCTCTGTATACCTGGCTGTCCTCAAACTCAGAGGCCCACCTGTCTTTGCCTCCCAAGTGCTAGAATTAAAGGTGTGTACCACCATGCCCAATACCCACTTCCCCCGCCCCAGACAGAGTTTCTCTCTGTAGCCTTGGCTGTCCTGGAACTCACTCTGTACACCCGGCTATCTTCGAACTCAGAGATAACACCTGCCCCTGCCTCCCAAGTGCTGGGATTAAAGACGTGTACCACTACCACCTGGCTGTCCACTTAATTTTTTTTTTTTTTTTGAGACAGGGTCTCTCATATAACCTGGAGCTGACTGGCTACACTAGCTGGCAATCAAGCACCAGAGATTCCCATTTTCCACCTCCCTAGTGCTGGAATTCCATGCGTGTGCTACCATGCCCAGTGTTTTTATGTGGGAGTCAGGAATCTGAATTCAGGTCTTCACACTTGCACAAGCATGTTACTAGGCTGTTCTGTGACCTCAACATCTACTCAATTTCACACAAGTAAATAAATGTAAAAATAATGTAATAACCACAATAAATAATGTAAAAAACTTTTTAAAGGACAAACATGCCCAGAATGTGAAACCCTAGGTTCAATCCTCAGTAACACACATACCGCCCCCCCCCCCAAATGCTGCACTATGTCAGCTACCTTAGGAAGACTTTTAGGCAAACAGAAATGTCACTCAGACCCTGGCCTCTTCAAAGACTCCCCTGTAGGAAGGAGGTTTGGGCAGTTACCTATGGAGTGACCCCATTTCCAGATGTGTGGTCATACTGAAGGGGTCCTACAGGAATGCTTGCTCTAGGTGTCTTTTTCAGGGAATGAGAACCATGATTTGGGTGGTAAGAGGAACAACAAATCCACCTAAAGAGATTGTATCTGTTTACAAATATAAAACACTAGCCAATCCTGGAAATTACCATAAGCAATTTGTGTGGTGAGCTTTCCAGTGTCAACCACTGTTTATCCTTTTATTACATTATTGGAACACTTAATCTTCCTGTCAGTTACATGCTGAAAAATAGATTCTTCCTCAGCTTCTTCTTTCTCAAGAGCTGGGCAGTGATGGCATACGGTTTTAATCCCAGCACTTGGGAGGCAGGGGCCCGAGTTCGAGGCCAGCCTGGTCTACAAGAGCTAGTTCCAGGACAGCTAGGGCTATTACAGAGAAACCCTGTGTCGAAAAACAAAACAAAACAAACAAACAGACAAACAGAAATCCTTTCTTAAAATTAAAAAGAAACAAAGACAGTGGTAGAACACTCGTCTGCCATGTGTGAAACCCCAGGATCAATTAATTCTCAGCACCCTAAAAAGAAAAAGGGCACTCCTTAGATATATATTACGTATGAAATTGTAAAGAATTGTAAAAGAATAAATAGGGCCATATGTGGTGGTGCAAGCCTTTAATCCAAGCACTCAGAAGGCAGAGGTAGGCAGGTCTCTGTGAGTTCAAGGCCATTCTCATCCACATAGCAAGTTCCAGGACAGCCAATGCTATATAGTGAGATGTTGTCTCAAAAAGACTAAAAAATGGAAAAGAGTAAAAACGAAACAAACACTAAATAGTGCCAAAGAGATGGGCCAGCTCAGCTGACAAAGCCACGCCTGATGGGCTGAGCTTGATACACTGGGCCTACATGGTAGGAGAGACTCAGCTCCTGCGAGTTGTCCTGTGACCACACGCACACACACACACACACCTGAAAAATGAGACTATGATAATTAGCTGGGTGGTGGTGGCGTGTGCCTTTAATCACAGCACTTGAGAGGAAAGGCAGGTGATCTCCAGGTTTGATGCCAGCCTGGACTACAGAGCAAGTTCCAGGACAGCCAGGGCTACACAGAGAAACCATGTCTTAAAAAAAATAAATAAATAAACAAAACAAAGGGGTACCATTAATTAATATTTAAAAATGTATTCGTGTGTATGTGTAAAGCACATATATGCAGGTACCTTCAGGGGCTAGAAAGAGGGTGTGGGATCCCGAGGACAGATTCAGGAGGTTGTGAGTCTTCTTCTTGCCAGTGTTGGAAACTGCCGTCTGGAAGAGCAGCGAGCTCTCTTCTTACACAACAACCACCTCTCTAGCCCCCTCATTACTTACTTTTTTTTTTTTTTCTTTTTGGTTTTTCGAGACAGGGTTTCTCTGTGGTTTTGGAGCCTCTCCTGGAACTAGCTCTTGTAGACCAGGCTGGTCTGGAACTCACAGAGATCCGCCTGCCTCTGCCTCCCAAGTGCTAGGATTAAAGGCGTGCGCCACCACCGCCCGGCTCATTACTTACTTTTTGTTGTCTATATTTCTTAGTATTTTGCATGTATTGGGTTCGATTTAAAGTGTAGTAAAAATTAACAAAAATGTTCATTTGCTTAAAAACAGAAAGGTCCTCTTGAACCACTTAAGCACATATATGTACATATACTAACTATAAATAAAAATGCCTACATGCAATTGTAAGACTTTAAGACAATCCTGAAGCCATTTTTGACAATTCTGAATCCTCTCAGCCTCTGTGCCATAGTGCTTCCCCTCCTCCCCTGGGAACCAAGGACCTAACAGCTACACTCTCACGTACTCAGTTCCTGGACAATTACCCATATACGTATGCTTTGCTTCGGTCCCCTGGGAAACGGGGTCAAAATGACCTCTTACCTCATCTGATCTGGCAACAGCTCTCCAGTCAATTATTGGTAATAGCCCTTTCTAATAAGCCAATCAGAATAGTCAAAGAACAACACCCCTTGCTTCTGTGGCCCCTTTAAAAGTAGACTGTACCCGCTATTCAAGGTCCCTCGGCTTCCCGAATGCTGGGGGACCCTGTCATGACAGAATTAATAAAATCCTCATGCTTTTGCATCGGCTGTGGTATGTGGTCTCTGGGGGCGACTCCTTCTCGGTGTTTGGACGCCAGAGTCCAACACAATATATATCTATAGATTTTTTTCCCCCAACGCTGGCGTGGAATCCGGGGCCCAGCAGAGACAGCCACATCCCCCACTCCAGAGCCTAATCTCTCCCAGCGCTCACCCGTGTACGCGGCAGCTGCCAGGTCCAAGAGGTGGGAGGACACTCGAGGACGCTCTTTAACGTATCCAACGGCGGAAATATCTTTTTCTTGTGGTTTACAAAGAAGAACGAAAATTATAAAGGTTTTGAGGCTGTAACGTGAACAAAACAATAGCTGTCGTGCGGCAAAGACACGACGTCACGGCAGTTTTACGACGCTCCCCGCTGTCGCACCGCGCGCAGGCCCCTGCAGACCCGGGCTGTCACTTACGTCCTTGTCAACCCAATTCCTCACAACCCGTGCGGACCTCACAGTCCGGAACCAGAGACTCTGAGTCACTCGTGGCGATGCTATTTCCTGTTTTGCTTTCAGCCTGTGGGCAGGGGGTTCACTTGGGACCGAGCTCAGGGATCGATGTGGCTGGTGAAAGGACCAGGGTGGAGTGGGCATGGGGGGGGGGGGCGGACAGTGCTGAAAAATGCTTATCAATGGTTTTTATTTGGTGGTGTTGAGACGTGCTGCACAGGCTGTCCTCCAACCTGACTTGTAGCTGAGGATGACCTTGAACACCCGATGCTCTTGCCTCTACCTTGCGAGACTTGGAATTGTAGGAGTGCCAGCCACTACATTGCAGTTTAACAAATATAATACAAGACTGTCCAAATCTCTAAATCACAGTTCTATTGATAAATCTACCAGTTCATGAGATGATGCGTTTCTTCCAAACATTGAGTCCAACATGTGGATTCCTCTTATTTGGATAACTTAATAAACTATAGATTGGATTTCTTTACATTTTCCTGTGAGTGTGTGTGTGTGTGTGTGTGTGTGGTAGATGGGTGAATGCTGTATCACCGAGCCATGTCCCCAGCTTTTTATATTATCAAACACATATAATTTTAATATTTTATTATATACTTTTGTCTTGGGGGTTATGAGACATGCTTTCACAATATAGCCTAGGCTGGTCTCCACAGGCACCAGGTCTTCATGTGGTATGCATCAAAGAACAAAAATTATTAATTAAAAACAATTCCTCATGATACTTGTCCATCAGTGTTTATTGAAGCATCATTCATAGAAGCTGTGTTTTAGAACCAATCTAGGTGTCCAGCAACAAGGATGGACAAAATATGCTACATGTACATGCTGGCAACTCAGGGGAAGAGCTTCTGTAGCCACCAAGAACTTGAAACTGGGCTTTTTGGTGCCTTTTCTTTGTTGGAGATTCTGAGTGGGCAGGGCTTGGAGAGAAAGAGGCAGGAATGGGGCTTTCTGGATCATGCAGGGTGAGCTGCAGGTTCCAACTGCACAGCATGCTGTGGCACACTGCATGCTTGAACTCGCATGCTCACACAAAAGTGTATATATCATACATTCATTCTAAAGGCAAAGTTATGGCATTTACAGAAAAATGAATGCAACCAGAGGTAGTCTTTTTATTCCCAAAGATTTACTTATTTATTATGTATACAGTGTTCTGCTTCCATGTACACATGCATGGCAGGAAAGGGCACCAGATCTCATTACAGATGGTTATGAGCCACCATGTGGGTGCTGGCAAGTGAACTCAGGACCTCTGGAAGAACAGCGAGTGCTCTTAACCTCTGAACCATCTTTCCAGCCCCAAAGGTAGTCTTATAAAGCAAATTAAGACAGTCTCAGAGTGACAGTTGTTTTTTTCTCATGTGTAGTTCCTAGGTTTTATATAGACACATTAAAATTATGTATATATAGGACATGGGGTAGAAGTGAAACTGTCTAGGGAGACTAAAGGGAAGGGAAGGGAAGGAAAAGACTTACTGGGGTAACATATTCAATGTACATTATATAGTTGCATGAAAATATCTATATAAAAAAGAAAAATATCTATAATACAATAGTATGTATTGTGAAATATTTTAAAAGCCAAAAAATATTGTACATTATATAATGTGTTTATGCAGCTAGAAGTATACTCCTTTGTTTTTATTAGTATTCGATTGTTTTTTGTTTGTTTGTTTGTTTTTGAGACAGGGTTTGTGTTGCCTTGGCTGTCCTGGAACTAGCTCTGTAGACCAAAATGTCCTTGAACTCAGAGACCTGAGTGCTGGGATTAAAGGTGCGTGTTACCACACTTAACTGTTTTTTGGTTGGCTGGTTTTGTTTCTTTGAGCCAGGGCCTCACTGTGTCACCCTGGCTGGCCTGGAACTGGTTTTGTAGGAAAGCCTGGCCTTCAATTCAGAGCTCTACCTGCCTCTGCCTGTAGAGTGCTGGGATTAAAGATGTGCACACCACCACATTGCTTTGTGCGTGTGACGTGAATCTCTGTGCAGATGCAGAGGCTGAGGACAACTTGCTGAAGGTGGTTCCTCCTACCATGTGGGACCTTGGGATTAAACTCAGGTTGTCAGGGTTGGTAGCAGGCTCCCCAATCTGCTGATCCATCTCCAAGACAGTATTCAGAACAAAATAAACAATGGGCTGGCCAGATGACAAGTGTGGTAAAGGCACTTGCTGTTACACTTACCCACCTGTGTTAGATATGTGGAACTCACAGTTGGAAAGAAAGTATTGACTCCCGCAAGTTGTTCTGCATAGTGTGTGTCCAGAGCCCG